ATATAGACATAGGTACATTTATATATGTATGAATATATGCATATGAATGTATATATGTGTATAGGTGTGTTTGTGGGAGTATGTATCATTTCTGATTCTTTATTGATAGCTTCCATTTGGGGAGATGTCATCTTCATACTTTAGTTCCTTGCACATGGTTTCCTTTAGTTATGTGAACATGTATTAAAATAACTGACTAAAGATTTTTTTCCAGTTAAGTCCAACATCAGAGCTTTCTTAGGGACAGTTTTCTGTTGATTGCTTTCATTCCTGCATATGAGTCATACCTTTTTGTTTCTCGACATGTCTCATTTTTTATTGAAAAATGGACATTTTAAGTTATATAACGTGTTTACTCTGGAAATCAGACTCTCCTGCATCCCCAGGGTTTGTTGTTGTTGTAAGTTTGTTTAGTGACTCTTCTGAACTACTCCATAATGTTTGTATCTCCAGTATATGGCCACTGAAGCCTCTTTTCAATTAACTTACTGGTTAGGTAATGACTGGACAGAGACTTCCTTAAATGCCTGAGGCTACGTCTCCCAGTCTTTGCTGAAGGGCTCTGAGTGTGTTGGGGCACAGCTTCAGTCCTGTCCCAGGGGCTGGAGAGCAGGCACTGGGAATGTGGCAAGTTAAAATGCCGCAAAGCTTGCCGCTCCTACCAAGATTCAGGTGTTGTCCTGAATAAATAATTCTGAGGTTGGCTAATTTCCAGAGTTCTGAAAAAGTTCATTCTGACAAATTTTGCCCGTTTCTTCTGGGGAAAAGAGAATTTTCAGAGGACTTTTGCCCTGCCATTTTCAGTGATGTCATCTTTTAGTTAATATTTTAATACTTTATGCCCTTATCTTAAACTACGCACAAATATAGTCTTTATAGACTATATTTAACACTCTTTTTTGAGACTCCTCACTCCTTAGACTTGAGCTGCCTAAAGCCTTCTCTTACTGCTACTTAGCGGCTTCTCTTTACTCCGTGCTACCTGGTCCCCGAACACTAAAATTTCCCACTTCTTCATTTTGTTCTCCCTTTCCCATCTTCTGTGTTATTTCCCACATCAACAACTCTAAAATTTTCTCACCCTCCCCCAGATTTTACCTACCTCTTTCTCATTCAGAGAGAAAATAGACTATCATGTGTGAGCACTCACACTTCCTTGCTCTTCCACCTGTGGCCCAGCCACGACTGCACACGCCTGATCCGCCTCTCCCATGAAGCGCTGCCCAGGGTCAGTCCCTTTACATGGGCGTCCCCTTGGTGGAGTTTCTTCATCAACCATCCGCTCTCTTTCGGGCCTTCATTCTCTCTAATACAACAAAACATTCCCTAAAAATGCATACACCAAAAACTGTGTACCATCCTCTTCCATTCCCGCTCTCCTCTTCCCAGTTAATCTTCTAACCACCTTTCTCTCAGCCCTAATACTATTTCTCTAGTGTAGACTCTCATTGTTTGTTTTAATCTTACATTAGTTGTTTATTTCCGAGTATTTATTGAGCATATTCTTTTAGACACTGTTCTAAACCCGGGGGCACAACAGTGAACAAGACTTGATCTCTGTTGGTATGGGGCTTAAATTCTAGAAGGGGGAGACAGACGGGAAATGTGCAGTACACTCTGAGAGACAGACAGGTCTGGTTAGAACCTAAAGCAGGGTAGATGATGACTAATAAAGAGAGGGGGTGCTAGATAGGACAGTCAGGGGTGGCTTTTTTATGGGGGTGGCATTTTAGCAGAGTCTTAAGGTCATTGAGCCAGCGCAGGGAAGGTCATGGGGAAGATCTTCCAGGCAGTGGGACTATCAAGTATAAATGCTCCAAGGTAGGAGCAAGCTTAATCAGTGTCCCCACAAGAGAAGGCCAGGGTGCCTTGAGAGTGGTGACGAGAGGACCTGCGGCCAGGTAGGAGGCCAGAGAAGTAGGCAGAAGCTGGATTGTGTAGGCCTTGTAGGTCATGGAAAGGAGCTTGGATTTCAGTCTGAATTTATTAGGATGCATTAGAAGGTTTGAAGTGGGGGAGTGATGTGATATGCCTTCTCATTGAATCAAAATCAGATCCACTCCGAAGCAGCCAAATACAGCATCTCAGAATTTATGCACGTGTATTTGGGTTACCATCATGGGAATACATTGTTCCCCTCAAAACCCATGTTGCAAAGAAAGAAAGAAAGGGCTCTTTATTTTTTCAACTGGGAGAAACTAAGAGAGCTTCTGAAATTTTAGCTTGTGACTCCAGATTTCCATTTTGTTAGTATTAATAACAATCATGATCATTTTAAGGAAAATGTTAGGATGAATATGACAGCGATGTTGCCTTGTTCATGTACCACAAATTTGTTTATCCCACATGCAAGAAACTACTTTATATTTTGACCCTGTATTAGGATAAGCATGGACATCACCCCATGAGTTCTTTTTGGCTTAGTTACATGAAGATGATAGCCCTAATTCATCAGTGGAAATGGGTACTTGTTTGGCAGTTAAAATGCGTTATTTGCTAGTCTATTAGCACTCCTCCTCCTGGGTCCCACAGTGGATAGTGGCATGCAAGAAATGACTAACTAGGGATGATCTGGGGCCAGAGAACCAAAGGAAGTGACAGGTCACAGACAGCAAACCAATGACCTTGAAATCATGAAGAAAAGGTTCAAACCAGTCATGCAACAGATAAATGAGTCAGATCTGAAGCCTTGAATACCAGTGTCTCAGCTAAGATTAAACCGTCTCTCTAAGTATGTGTTGTTGTAATATCACATTGCAGTGAGACTATAAAAAGTTCACATGTGATTCTCAAGCTATGTGATGTTATGGGGAAACCTTTTAGATTTTTGCAGTTCTGGGAATCCAAGGGCTCAGATCTTTTCTGAGCTCTGGCATCAACTGACTCTCAGCCGGGACTAGAATACTTACCTCTCTGGGACTCAGCTTCCCCCATCTGTCAAATAAAGTCATTGGATCAAGCTTAAATGTCCCTCCTGCACTAGCGTTTGATGATTTGATGAGTCTAAGGATTGCCTTTGGGGGATGGGCATATAGGATAGAAATGATAGTAAAACTCTGTAAAAATTCAATTGAAAACTCTTTGGGGGAAGGGTATAGCTCAAGTGGTAGAGTGCATGCCTATCATGCACGAGGCCCTGCATTCAATCCCCAGTACCTCCTCTAAAAATAAATAAATCCAATTATGCACCCCACTGCCAAAATAATTAAATGATACAATAATAAATAAATAAAAATTAAAAAATGAAAACCCTCTGCATTTTTAGCCTGGTAAGAATTCACCAGGCTTAGTAGGAACTCTTGATTCTGAGTGGATCGGCCACATCTTTTTTTTTTTTGCCTCTGACATTTATCTCTAATGGTTATGACAAGGACAGGATGAATCTGTGATGGAACAAAGCCAGCTATGTAAAGATTTACCATATGGATGGCTAAGGAGAGTGGGATATAACTGAGATTAAGTAGATATTTACAAAAACCAGTGAGTTACCTCAAAATGGGATTCTTTGTTTGGTTTGTTCCACTAATGTAGTAACATAATCTCTGGTGTTTTTCATTTGGCTTATTCATTTAGCTGTCCATTTAGCTAATTAAGCCCTACTTTATATCCTGTAAAAGTAAATCTGCTCTTAAGAGTTCTTACTAGTATATGTGAATAGATTTGCACCTCCTAGTTTTGAGCCACTGAAGCTATTCACTTCCTAAGGGATTGCCCCAATAAACTGCGTTTGTCAGTATTCCAAATACCAACACGTAAAGCTTGATCCTGAGATTGTTCATCCTTGCAACAGCCAACTCATCTGAAAGATCGATGAGAACATGAAGTATTTTTCTACTATATGTTCATTGCATCTGTAATAAAAATGCTGTTTTAGTAAGCAAAGATGGTTCAGTTCATTACATAGGTGTCTTTTTTTTTTTTTTCAATTTTCTTCCTAGTAGCACCCAGAGCCAAAGTATAAGGTTCAGTTACACTGTGGTTTTCCAGCTTCTCATAGAATCTGGAAACTACAAGCCAAAGTTGCCTAAAGAAATGGTGATTTTCCTGCTTTTAACAGGATAAGTACAAAGCCAGTAGCTTTATACATATGTATTATGTATAACATTTTGTTACAGGAGAAAGTAATATAATTTTTTTCTAATGTTCAGCTTTAGAAAAACTTGACATATGAAAATATTTATTTTTGCAAAATGGACTTAACTGCATTTCTAAAGGATACTATATGCTCCGTGTTAATATCTTATGAGGCATACTTGTAATTCATACCGTGGTAAATTTGTTAAATATGAATTCTAACCTCTGATAAAAACAAAAATTGTTTCTCAAATATGTTGAATAACTCCTTTATGGAACTGAAAGATTGTACATACCACCTTGACTCAAAGAAAGTTATTGCATGTGGTTAAAATAGTTCTTGTATAATCATATCATTAATGTGAGTAAAGCAGTGATTCTTTGTATATCCTTCTAAAATTCTTATCCTACGTGTGTAAGATGAAAAATTTAACAAGCATACTCAAATTTATACTTCCAAATAAATAGTTTTTTTAAAATAGTTACCTAGGACAGTTATGCACTTATTTCAGTGATACTGTTGCTACAAGTGGTTTGCAGTCCCTACTTTTGAAGCTGTTTTCAGAGCAACTTAACCTATCTGGTGAAATTCATAGTGATTTTAATTCATTTGTCTGTTCATCTGATAGATATTTATTGAGCATCTACTCTTCGCTAGCTGTACTCATTTCTAGGTTGATGAAAAGTAAAAATGAATAACATGGCCCCTGCCTTTTGAGAATAAAAATGGAAGTATCTAGTTATGCTTGATGTGGAAGTAAAATGATGTCATAAAGTTGGACTAAAAAGCTAGTTTTACTCTAGGCATCCAATGCATGATGGAAGCAGAAGGGAAAAAAAGTCTCACAGTGGATGCACAGAGGAGGTCCCCAGCATACTGTTCTCATAGTTTCATTTGTTGTAACGCAGCGTGTTTGTCTTCACAGGAGGGTCTTTGGATGTATATAGAAAAATTCCAGAGCATGTCCTTGGAAGAATTGCAGTGGCTGTAAGTATAAGGTGTCACCTCTGTGGGTGGCTTACTCTTTCTAGCCAAGCCTTATTCTCCTTACATCCTCAGGACTTTTTTCTTTTGCTTTTGCTTTTTCTTCAATCCCTATTAACTGCCAGGGCCTACTTAATTCTCATCATCTATGTCCTTTTTTCTTTTCATAGACCAACTCACAGTAAGGACATAGACACATGATGTCTTCAGACTTAACGATACTCTGACCCGTTCTAATTTCATGTGTTTGCAGGGATCTTACTGCTCTTGTTAACCAGTAAAATTTCCAAGTTCTTCAGAGAGAAAGTTGTTTGAGGAACATTTTATAGGGCATATATAATTAGAAAATACTTGGAAAGTCTAAATTATTGTAATAAAACCATCTATAAGAAAATACTACTTTATTCTTAAAATGTTTTGCAGACTCTTTATGTGCTTGGTTTTAATTTTTTTTCACCAGCTGTTTCTAGGAATGTTTTCCGTTTGTGATCAGAAGCAGTTTTCCTGTTTTCTGTATTCATGAATAAACTGACTGAAATATATCAACTAAATTAACATGACTATATAAACTCCAGATTTCAAATTTGGAATGACGTATGGAGGCTAAACGGTGTCTAAGAGAAGCCATGGGGTGGTGTAATAGTAAACAGTTGCTAAACTAAAGGCACTCTAGTAACTTAAGCGGCTTAATGCAGAACAAAGTGATTATACCATGTACCATTTAATTAAGTGGCTGATTTTCGCATTCATTATACATCAAACTGACTACTCAGTCCTTTAATCCAACATGGACACTTATTTAGTCTTAGTTCATTGTAATTCACAGCTTTCCTTTTTTCTTCCTAATTATTAGTGTGAACTGCCCGGGGTGATGAGAACTTTCTTTTCTGAGGCTCTTGCTGCTAAGTAGCTTCTAATGTACATGTTTAGGTAGATTAGTATGAAATTTGAGTGCTTAAATCACTATTTTAGATGAAAATAAAAATGTTTCATTTCCTCTTTTAATCTCAGGGGGAATGAATGCTTTGTGGCTTTTGGCAGTTCTTGGCTCTAAAGTTTAATAACACGTATAGTAAAGGGCGAAAAAAGGCAGGGATACCAATTGAAAAAGAAAAAGGTATATGAGTTCTGTGTGCTCAATTATCTATTGAACTTGGCTAACAGAGGAATCTGCCTTCTTCAGTAGAGAAGCACATTCTTCCTGGACTTCATAAATCTTGCCTCTGTCTTGTGTAGGGCAGCCACACAAGGCTGTCGGTCTTTTCAATTCTGCTGGAATGGGAAGCCTGTGGAGTGAATGGAGTCAGCAAAAAATAATAGTACTAATAATCCAGCTTCAGCGCAGGGCTTACCTATTGGGTCATTGCAAACATGACAATGGTTTTAGTGAAAGGCATTTGAAATAAGTGCTAGCCCAAAGCATTGTTTACATTTGCCCTTACATTTTTAAAAATTAGGGTGGTTTTTCTTTTCTAAAATGTGTCCAATTTCTCCAGCTTTTATGGCTCATCAGGTCATAGTAATGAAAACTGCCTGTGGCCAGAGTGAAGAAAAAATGCTTTTGATAATTTTGCTCTTCATCTGCCACTTCTTATAAACTCTGCTGGTGCCTGAGCTTATGTAAAGCCTCCAAAGTATATTTTTTTAATGAAATTTTAGTAGACTGAAACTTGGATAATCCTTTGTTGCAGCTGACAGGCGTCAGTGGAAGGGTTCTCCCAACAGAAATAAGACTCGCAAATTGGTGGTTTGTAGGACATGATTCCCAAAGTAAATGTTTGCACAGCCTGGTTGGGTTCCCAGTGTCTTTGACCAGCTCTCCTCTGATGTTCTGAACAAGGCACCCGCATCGTTCGCGGAGTTCCCTCAGTGAGGCCAAGAAAGCACATGGGTTCTGTTGCCAAGTCAGAAGCAACAAACCAGAGGCGAGAGGAGGGAAACAGGTGTATGATGAATACTTCTTTGTATTTTTGTGCCAGTCACTAATAAATCTTTTACGTACAAATACTGTCATGTAACCTTCACAGTAACTGTAATGTGCAGGTTGTTGTACATATTGTGTATGAGTGCAGGATGAGGTGTAGAAAAAGTTAAACAGCTTGCCCGGAATTACCACATAACCCAGTCAGTGATAATTAGAACCCAGGGCACTTTGACTCCAGGCCCCATGCTCTTTACTGTGCTTTCCTAAGACAGAAAAAAGAAGAGGAAGAGATGAAAGGGGGAAAAAAGGTTAAAAAGCTAAAAAAAATACAAATGAGAGAATGCTGGAATAACATATATAGTTATTTCAGGTTCTTTTTGTATCTTAGAACCACGTCTAGGCATCTCTGCCTCTGCAAATTGACTTTGTTTTCCAAGCTCTAATAATCTGGCATGCTGTGCAGGTCCACAGACCCAAGGTTCATTACAGAACGGACCCTGTCAGCCTTTATGATATGTTGTCCAAATTTTCTTTTTTTAGGATGTATGGCAAGAGGATATTTTCCCAGAAAAAGAAATCCATATAAACTGGTGGTTTCAGCCTCCCACCTTGCTCAGTGATTTTTATCCACTGTCCCTTTGAACCTGGTCTCCTATAAGGAGGAGTGCCTTTCTGCCTTTCCCTGCCATCTAATACATTTTATTTTTCCTCTCATTTCTGAAGCGGTGACACTGTGTACTGTATTTTGAGTGCTAATGTTGATTGAAGTTGTCCCTGAAGGGACGTGCACTTGACATGTCAAGGAGTGAGTGATTGACAGCAGGTATAAGTACTTTTAGTGTCAAGGCTTTGTCAAGTCATTGCTGTGAGACCTAGCCTAGTGAATACCAATAATACCCTCTAGGTTTTCATCGGACTGAGTCTAGCTCCCTGTACACTTATTCTTCTTTTAAAGGAAAATATAGTCTATTCTGACAACATTAGAAGAATATTTTCTTTTTGAATCTCAAACAAAATTTATAATTTTAGCAAGTATCATAAAATCAGTATTTGTTTTACTTTTTTCTGCCTGGTAATCTGAATATGGTGGATTGCCTTCCCTTATGTGTCTTCTGATTAGTCATCTTCTCTGGGGCCAGTTCTTAGTGATGAGTTATCTTTAATGAGAAGGTTTTATAAACTCATATAAGTTGAGGTTTAACTCTATTTCTAGAGCTCAGAAGATGATTACTTCCATGCTAAATAAGATGACCCTGTCCTACTACTCAAAGAAAAACATTGTTTTTATTATTTGATGTTATTTTTTTAAAAGCATTTGAGGAAATATTTTTGTCCTGTTTACTCCTTCTGTGTTATTATTACTATGTTGATATTTTATTTCTTTACTGTCTTACTGTCCAGAGCACATGTGATTTATTGTAATGCCACTAATTCTGAACCCTGGAAGAAATAATTTGCTATGAACATGTATTCTTTTCTCTTAAAATAGATAAATCATAGAATTGATCTTAGCAAATTTTTCAGGAATACGTTCTGATCTATGAGAACAATTAAAATGTTAACTTCTGCTCAGCATTGATTGATACAGATTTTAGCTTCTTCTTGATCTTTAGTATTTGGAAATTGGGTTTTTCCCTTTGCATTTCTGTTTTTAATATTGCTCTTAACCTTTTTTGATCCAGTGAAATCCTTGCATATTTAGCCTCAGCCCTCTTTTCACCAGTCTCAAGATATGTAAATCACTTAGTTATTTCTCATAATGGTAATTTTTCTTATTCTTATTTTCCTGACCCACCTAGATTTTTCTGTAATGATGGCTACTTTTAAATTCTTGTAGTAAACTTTGAGTAATAGTAGTTTGTTCATTGTATGTGATTAATTAACCCCCCCAAAACCAAAACCAAATAAAATTTACATCTCCGTTTACAGCAATTTCTATATAAAGATTTTTATTTTTTTATTTTTTTGTTTCCTTTTTTGTTTTGGGGGGAAGTAATTAGGTTTGTTTATTTATTTTGGTGAAAGTACTGGGGATTGAACCCCGGACCTTGGGCATGCTAGGCATGTGCTCTACCACTGACCTGTACCCTCCCCCCGAGATTTTTAAAGCTTTTAATAATTTAATCTCTCACCCAGAAGGTAGCACTTGTAACCCATGTACTTAGAGTCTTGGAAACATCATCTTTTCTGTATCTTATTTGAGTAATTATTCTTAACTCAGCCTGTTAAATTCAGAAATCCAAAACCTAACTCAGATGTCTGTGTTTCCTCATTGTATTTCCCTCACTTGCCCCTTCAGTATTGTCGACATGACCTCACACATATGCTTTCATGAGCCAGACTGAAGATCATTGTCTTGGTACACTTTGTTCTTTCCTACCCCAGTGTCATTTAAAACATTTCGGGGGAAACTTTTTATTTCAAGGTTGCTTTAAACGTAGAGAAAAGTTGTGAGAAGAACAGTAAGAATTCCCACAGATGCTTCACCCAGATTCCCCAATTGTGAACAATTAAGCACGTTTGATTAAAAATATATATACACCTATTTTTCCTGAAACATTTTTAAACAAGTTGTAGATATCATGACCCTTTACTCCTAAATACTTCAGATGTATATTTCCTAAGCACAGAGACATTCTCTTACCTCATCACTTTAGGTTGATCAAAACTAGAAAATTAGCACTGGTGCAGTGTTACTATCTTATCACCAGTCCTTATTCAGATTTTGCCAGTTGTCCAGTAATACCCTTTATAGACCAAAAGAAAAAAGTTCTCATCCAGCATCCAGTCTAGGATTATACACTGCATTTAGTCGTCACGTCCCTTTAGTTTCTGTTAACCTCCAACAGTGTTTCCGTGTTTCTTTGTCTTCCGTGACCTTGGTGTTTTTGAAGAGTACACTGCCCCAACACTCTGATCATGTATGTGTTTTTACCTTGGACTGAATGCTTTTTTCACTTTTCTTCACATCAGTTAACCCTGTTCCTCAAGGCCTGGCACTCTGGCAAAGGCTTTCTGACTCCTATCAGGGAAAGCAGTTTTTAGTTCACCAGTTGCCTTCATTAGTTAACTTTTTAGAAATGTCTCTCCTTGGTCATAAATGTCACGACTTAAATTCTCTTTTCACATACAGAAGTGTAGAAAAATAAAAAGCGAAAATCTTTGCCCCTTTTTCCTGCCCCTCTCCTTTCCAGCCGCTAAGAACTCAGTCAAAGAACTTGCCAGGCCATTTTATATGCACATATACTTACTTCACTCATTGACCACGCCTTAGCTTGAGAACATGGTAAGCTCATTAAAGGAAGGAACCTGTAGCTTATACGTCCAGCATCCCCACAGAGCCTGGCACAGAAATGGGAGGTGTTCAATAAGTGCTTATTGGTTAACCGACTTTTGAAGGAAGAATTATAGTTGATATGATTATATGTTTAAATGTGGAAAGTTCCTTATAAAAACCATCATTGTCCTGTTTTCTCTTTCTCGAATTTAGGTTGTTAAAGGCCTTACTTATTTGTGGAGTTTAAAGATTTTACATAGAGGTATGTACTTACAAGCTCTAACTTAATTTGGGATGAGATGGGGAGCTTTCTGGATACGCTGATTTTTAAAGTGAATAAATGATCTAATATTTAAGTCAGGTGATATATTTGATAGTCAGAAGATGGCTGGCTGCTTTATAAATGTTATTTTAAAAGGTTTTCACCCTTAATTGCTCTGATTTAGATTATAAACTTGGTATTGCATTTTGGTAAATAATGTTTGCAAAACATGTAAAATGGTATTTCATAGTATTTGAAAATGACACATTCTTATTTTTCTTAGTTAACTCTAGTTAATGCAAAACCTTCACTATCTGTACAATTGCGTCCCTTCCTTTTATTAACATTTCAAATATCCTTATATGCTGCTCCTTAAGAGATTACTTAATATACTTTGAAAGTAAAACTTTAAAGAAGGAATTGGTGACTGCATCAGAAATTAGTCTCCTAGCCTATTAACAGAACACATGAGAAGAATAATCAGATAACTATTGAATGTTGCAAAAGGAACCTCCCTTTGCATTTTTTTTTATTATTCCCAAAATGTCTGAATCCATTTGGAGCAAGTAATTAAGTGAGAAACAGACTATGTAACAAAGCAACTCCAAGTTGGCCTAATGTTACTAGCAGTACTGCTTAGTCTTACACATCTGCTCAGCCTGGCTTTATGCACGTTCGGGGAAATGCAACGGCATACGCATTAGATGTGATTAAAGGAAAGGTTTTTATGTTTTTTTTTCCAAAAGATTCAAGTTATGAGAGCGAGAAGATAACTGATGTCTTCAGTTGTAGTACCACATCTGTCACTTAGGCCTGTGTTTTGTTATGGTGGTTTTAATATCCCAGTGATTCCAAATTTCTTCTTAAATAATTCTTCCTCTTCTGAAGAGGATGTGTCAATTCTGACAAGTAAAACTTTCAGTTCAGCTCTGGAAGGCATTTATGCTGATTAAATGGAATCATAAAGCAAGTTTTTCTTTAAAGCTGTAGAGTGTATAGTTGGTACAAAATGTGGGGTGAGTGAGCCCAGTGTGTTCGTATTCTTCTTGGGGATAAATCTCTCTTGGAGGAGAGAAAAAGGGAGCATTTTCTCCCCCAAGATGAAGAGAGAATGATATTTAACATAACACGACTTATATGGCTTTCATTCCCTGTACGCCCACCTCCCCACATCACCAGCCCATAAAGTGGTGATGGCCGTTTTAACAGGAATTAACACAGTGGTCCGGCCTTGTCATTTTATTGATTTTTATGGACATCTGCTATCCATTTGACAAAGGTACTCAAGGAACTCATCAGTTCTCAGTAGCAGAGCCTTCATTAAAAGGCCCTTGCTATGGAAATGCAAATGTTATAGAATGGTGTATAATTAAGGTGTTCCTCAGGATCGTCCTATACTGCGGGCATGTGGCACATTTTTGACTTACAGTGAATTCTCACTAGCTATATCTTTCTGTGCAGACTCCTACTAGCACTAAGAACTGCGGCGGAGAGGGTAATCCTGTCCAGTTATTCTGCAGTCGTCTTTGTTTTTCTTCTTTAAAAATCATTAGTTTTACTTCTACTCTCTGTTTTAGAGGAATAATTGAATTTTTCACTCAAAATGAAATCTTGATAGATGTGTTTCAAGTGGATTTGTGTGTGGATCTAAAAATAAAGTCTACAGTGTTGGTCACAGTCCCAGTACCACCACCCTGTGACCATGGTGGGCACGTGTGGTTGACCAGAACCGCTCTGCAGGGTGGGTCCACCTCCCCAGCTCTGCGTGCACTTCGGGCTAAGAAAGGGTTCTCTGATCCGTGATGTGCTGAGGGCCTCGGTGCTTTGACTGACAGAGGATGTAGAGGTTTCAAGAAGGAATCCCAAGCCTGTGTTTCCCTTTTCAGTGCTGGCCAGCCCACTTCCTACAGAGAGCAACCACTGTAAGGGAAGGGGGCATCTGTGGAGGCTGAGTGAGGATGCTGGGAGCGGGCCAGCCAGCCCTCTGAAAGGATTTCAGTTTTAAATAAGCACCACTGAGTGAATGTGCACCTGTATCTGGGTAGATGGAAGGACTGACGAGTAATAACAGTCCACATGAGCAGTTTTTCCCCAGTAACTGTGGGTCCTCAACTATAGAAATAATATGCTGTGGTAATATACCTCGCTAAATACACATGTTTAGCTTTTGAGTTTCCTTTTTATTTGTGGAAACTTTTACCTTCTGGATTTAAAAGCATGTGTTTTTATTGAAGAGTGGGCAAAGCCAGGTGTCCCTGAAGACTTTTATAAAGCTTTGGAATGAGAAATTCACTCTAGATTGAGTAGTTGTTAACTTAATATTTTAGAGGTTTTTGTCCATATTTAATAACTTGAATTTCATAAAAATAAGATTAAAGATGCCTTTTATTTACCAAAAAGCTATTTAATTTTCTCCTTGATTAAAAAATTGTAGCTTTTTAGATCAGTTCAATCAGGCAATTAAAGATCAGAGCTTTTAACTTCAGCTAAGGCAATTAAATAGGTAATATACTTGTTTATACACTTTTACTGTGCAAGCTCATTGCTTATCTTCTTAAAAGCACATATCCTCATTTTTCCTTTCTCGAAATGAATGATGATGGGAGTTCTAGCTGAATATGTGTCACATTGTCAAATCAAAGACAGTGGTCCTTGTGCAGGAGGGGGAGCCTGGTATGAGGCTCTGAGAAGACAGCGTGAAAAGAAGATGGGGAAAGAGAAACACTAATGAGTGATCTAGGCCTCTTTCTCCTTTGTCTCAGTCTAAGTGCTTGTGTTTTCCTCTGATCTTCATTTTCTTCCCTCCCAAATGCTTCCCCTAAAAATCAGGGTCTTGTACTCATGAACACAAATTTTAGAAGATTAAGAAATGAAAAAATACTCAGTTACCTAATGAGAAAATAAAA